AGCAGTAGTGCAAGTTCTATAAAATGTATCTGTATTCAAAACATTTTAACTATGAAAGTGTAATGCTGTGTTATTTGGTTTTCTACATGACAAAGAATCTAATGAACTTTTGCCATATTTAAACTTACAAACACAGTCATAGCAACTTACTTAAAAAAAAAAAAAAAGGCCTCATCTTTCCCTCTATTCTCTCTGCTTTTATTATATGCAAAATCCCTAATTCAGAGTAAATTAAAGAAAAAATACTTTCTCCAAGTACATAGTAAAATAAAGAAATATCAAGTCCCTCAAATGTTATAGCTGCTGTGAACCCCAAATGCTACATAGCTATACAAGCAGGGCAAAGGATGTGAGCTATATAAAAAGCGCAGAAATATGTTAGTTAAGCTTAAGGTTAAAAAAAATAGTATTGTAAGGACAACCATAGATTCAGCTGTAGAAAATTTAGCTTCCTAAGCCAGAATTAATCTTGGTAGATGAAGATCTAGACAAAACTTTCCCACTTTTATAAAATTCTGTCTTGCACAGTGACAAAGGTCTGATTAGATTCCTTTATTCAGTGGTCACAGAAAAAAAAAACACAATTAAAACACACTAATTAAAACATTAATTAAAACATCATGACATATACACGGTTCCAAAATCCCAGTTACAATTTTTAAAAGGTAACTACATAGTTTTAATAAAACACAGACAGTAATCTAACAACTACAGCTTATATAACAATAACCAAACCAAACAATTTGTCTAAGTGAGAGCAAGTGCAAAATATATTTCGGTTTCTGTTTATAAACCAACTGATCACATGAAAGGAAGTAAAGAGTTTCCCTTAAAAGACTTGTATCTGTTCTAACAAACATAATCAGCTGTGATCTCATCTCTGTTGGCAACCATTGTCTCTGCACACAAAATCATGTGTGGTTGACCAGGAACAATATCTTGTGTCATCTTTAAATAACAGTTGAGGGAGGTATTGTCCTTTTTAATGGCAATGGTGAATGCACAGATGCCCAGTCCCCCCATCATTCCAACTTTACAACCCACACACATAACACTGCAGCCTTACTCTGTTGGCATCAAGCTGTGGGAGCAGAATGATCTCTCGTATTGGCTATTGGATATGAAAAACAGTCTGGCATTCAATCCAAAGAGATGAAATATCAGGAGCAAAATGTTAATATGGATACCGAAAGTGCACCGCACACTCTGGGAAATTTAAACGTACTATTGAACTATTGAATTGGAATAAAATAGAGATACAAAATAAATTGAAATTATTCAAAAATAATGTTGGTTAAGGAATTTGGTCCATTTATTAAACCTGGCCAATAAATAAAACTTTTGGAGGCAAACATGAGAAAGGTCTTTCTTGTCTTTTGTTGCTATAAGTCACCCTGTCATAAGCAGTAGTGCAAGTTCTATAAAATGTATCTGTATTCAAAACATTTTAACTATGAAAGTGTAATGCTGTGTTATTTGGTTTTCTACATGACAAAGAATCTAATGAACTTTTGCCATATTTAAACTTACAAACACAGTCATAGCAACTTACTTAAAAAAAAAAAAAAAAAAAAGCAAATTATGGGTGGGATAAGAATTTGACCCACATGGGAACCGTTCTAAGAAAATATGTAGACTACTTTAGTTTTCATGTGTTTTAATATATCTTTAAATTACGGTAATACATTTAATTTATGTACAACAAAGAAATGTCCAATTAAAAGTCTGATTCAAAAAGTAATATACAATATGTTTATATAGGACAATATTAAACAGCTCAATATTCCATTAAATTCTGAAAAGCAAAATTATTATATTATTGAGTATCCAATTATATGATGAAGTATACCATCTTAAAGGGTTAAACAGAATACTCAAATATCATTTTATATTATATATTTTAAAAATACATTTAATTATATAAACTCTCTATATTTATTTATAAAATAAATCTGATGAATAATTTTTGGGTATCATAATCTGAATTGTTTGGGAATCCCTGTTTCCTGGTTTTATCCTCAGGATTATTTTGCAACTCAAAGGTCAACATTAACAGACTCAACAGTTCACAAGCTTTTAAAGGTTTTTGTCCTAGGCTATCTAGCTAGATTGATCAACTTGGACCAGTTTAACTGTCTCATCTGAAGAAAAGCTCCCTAACCTACATGGTTTACCAGGTGTGGTCAGATCACTGTGCACTGATGTTTTCATCAATATGTCTATCCATCTATCCTGCTGTCCATCTTGTCCTGCTTAATCAGTCAGGATCAGCGCTGGTGCCTGTCTCCACCAGTCCATGGGCAAAAGGCAGGGTACACCCTGGACAGGTCGCCAATCCATCACATACTGACGTTTCCCCAACATAGCAAATCCCAGTTTGGCCAAAAAAAAAGTATTGGTCTCATCTTACCAAAGCTCTTTCTTCCTACATATGTAAGCTGTTCCCTACATTACTTTTTGCCAAACTGTAAAAAAAGAAAGAAAATAAAAAGAGGATGGCTTCCATCTTGCAACTTTGGTTTGATTTTATTTATGGAGTGCAATACTAATAGTTTTCCTTTGGGCGGATTCTCCTTTCTCAGCCTCACACCTCTGCAGTGCCTTTAAAGATGACCTAAGGCTGTTGGCTGCTTATCTGATTAATGCTCATCCTGCCCAGCACAGATGTTTATATTGATGACCAGGTTTTCTTATATATAGATGATTTTGGATATCTTTTTATAAATTAACTCTAAACTACAGTAGCAAGCTCTAAACTTATCGAGAATTTATTTGACCTGTCTGATGTGTTCATTTATCTTTAATGTTGCATTTATACAGAAGACTAACTACACATAAATGAACTATTTACTAATGAAGTGACTTCAAAGTTTGCATTTTGTGAAACGTTTAATGTTATCAGGGATATTTGGGAAAAAAATGTTTAACCCTATCTTAGAGGGAGTGCCAAGCAGCCCTGCAGAGGAAACTCGTTTCAGCATCTTATAACTGGCATTTCACTCTTTCGGTCATAATA